ACACACACACACACACACACACCACTACCACCTACCCCCCACGCACAGCCAGTAGGCTACTATCCCTGCTTTCATTTTAGAGTGAGGAGGAGAAGAGGTAACCGCACCAACAGTTTGGATGATCCAGACTTCACTGAGCGTCTTTGCGCACCGCACGCGGCTGGACTCTTCCTCCTCCTTCAGCTGAAAGTTTTCTCTTTACAACAGAACAAAATATAATTTTAAAAAAAGAGTCTAATGGCATTTAAATGTAAGCCCTGGCTGAGGTGCAGTTGCGTCCTCCTAGTTGTGGTTTGTGCTGTTGCCCTGGTGTGCCTCTGCCTCGCCACGTTTGTCCGGGCGCGCTGCTCCAGGGGCAGCTTCAGACGCGCGGCGGTGGCCGCCGACTCCAAACTCTGCTCCGAGATCGGCAAGTAAGTTCATCTTATTTAACCTGGTAATTTATCACTCTTTTTACCTGCCTTGATTGTGGTTGTCTGTTTATTTATTCATCGTGCTGTCAGGCTCTTAAGGTGAGCTGTCAGATAAGCAGTTTAAGAGATTTGGAGGACTCTGTCTAGAATAGAGATTATACCATCTGAATTATTAGAACAGGTTCTTGATTCATGTTTTTATGATTAATAAGAGAGAAACAGTAATTGAAAAGTGGAAAAAAGATTATATTTGCTCAGCTGTGTCACATAAATTAAGTTAATCTCTCCTTAAGTAGAAAGGTGATATTTGGAGTGCTGCTCTTCCTGCTTTTGTTTTCTGCTATAAAAACTTTGTCTTTCTTTTTTTTTAACTCAAGCCTGTCTTTGTGAAAGATTCATTTCCTGGTAGATGTAGACAATAGACAACTTTGATGTCTTGGCTTTTGATGATTTAAAGTGCTGATGCTGGTCTTTTTCCTGCCAGGATAAACAAAATAAGATAGTTTCCTGTGATCTGGTGCTTAAAGTATGTGTCAGCTACCACACCATGGTTTAACTCAGCATCTGTGAAATTCACTGAGTTGTTGCCATTTTCAAAGTTGGCTGAGATTGAAAAACAATGGCCATCATTTGAACTTGAATCTGTAAATGTAAAGATTACTTTCTGAACGTTGCATTAAAATTCAGTGGTTCTTTAAACCACCGTCTGTCTGACGCTGATTCCAGCAGGTCAAAGTTTTAAACAGATGATGCTTCGAGTTGAGGATCAGTCTCATCCATTAATGCGTCAAATTTTAGCCAACATTAGTAAAGTCGATTTAAACGTTACAACTTATATGTGTGCTAAGACTGCTTTGCTTTGGCGGCCATCTTGAATCTGGTTGACTCCAAAAGTTCAAGTTGTAGATGTTTAATCAATGATTATTTTATGGGAATTGTATTATTATCCAATAGTTCGTGGGATATTTTACAGTGATGAAATGCTTTCTGTTTGCACATTTATTATGTTCAAACTGATTTTTTAATCAGTTTTCTTTTCTGCAGGTATATTCCTGTCCGCCCAATATTCCCAGTGTTTCCAAACCAACACTTTATAGGATCAACCTTCTCTCTAATTCGATCATTTTTCTGCTTTTAAACCACAAAGTTGCAAATAACTCGTGACCAAACTGTTAAGCTGACTTATACACATCTTCTTTACAATTGATTTTACAAAAATAAGTTTTCATGCATTTTGACTCTCATTTGAATGTCTTTGTAACAGTTAAAGCTAAATATCCCAGTGCTTGATTTCTGTGAATTTTCTCAGGACCCCACTCTCGGTGTTTCATGACCCCAACTTTAAGAACCACAGCTCTGTACTTCTTAGACCAACACAATACAACTAAATTTGTCTGTCATTCTACTACGGTACTTCTTTGTCTCGTAAACCCCGAAAAAGTTCAAGCTGGCCTGATTTTTTACAAAGTCAGAACATTCCTAACATTTCCTTTAATCGTTGCTCAGTGAGGACATGTGATCCCATGCCAGCTCCTCTGAAAAGACCTATTCAGGGTCTCAGAAAGAGTGGAAGCCCACACTGCTAGTTTAGTCATCTGGCATGCAGTCAGGTTAAGATAAATCTAAATAACGTAAACCAATAATCTGAATTATACACATTACATGTTTGATTACCGTTTAGTTCAAGTTTAATAACTTTACAAGAGATCAAAGTAGAATAAATGCTTCAGGGATGGGATTATGTTGCCCGTGGTTGACCTCAAGTGCTGGTTCAAACTTGTCTCCTACTCAGAGCACCATAATGAACCTCAGGGTATTTTAAACTGTATGAATGCCTGTGTGTGTGTGTGGGTGTGTGAGTGTGTGTGTGTGTGTGAGTGAGTGGACAAACAGTCTTTGAATGAATTCCCATTGTTTTCTAGGAGCATGCTGGAGCAGGGAGGCTCGGCAGCAGATGGCGCCATCGCAGCTCTCCTGTGCACATCGGTGGTGAATCCTCAGAGCGCAGGGATAGGAGGAGGCTCTATAGTGCTTGTAAAAAATGAAACAGGTGAGATTTTGCCATGCTGTGGCATGTTTTATATGTTCCTTTATCTTTTGTAGATGAAGAGGGTTTTTTTTTTTATGGATGCTCATCTCTCCTCAGGCGGCGTTACGGTCTACAACTTCAGGGAGACGGTCCCCAAAACATTCAAGACCAACCTGTTAAATGACTGTCCCACTACATTCAGAATATCCACAGGTAAGCAGAACTGCTTCATTGTCTTCTTAAAAAAACCTGTTGTCATCCAATTTAAAGCAGTGGGTTTTGTCTCCTGTTTACACCAAATTATTCAGTTGCATAAAGTCCTCCCATCAAACATTTAAGAGATCTTGTAGAACATGTTGAGTCTTGGGGTTCCCTCTCAGCTACTTCATCACTAGATTTCCACCTAATATATGTTAAACTGACTGAGTTATAGCCATTTGTCTGTTTGCTAAGGTCAATTAGTTGCAGCTATCTTGATTTTGGTGGTAGTTTTATTTTAGGAATAAAAACGTATAAAAATGGCACTTTTAACATCCCAGTTTTTGAGTTTCATGTTATAATATCATTCCCACATCAAAAACAGAGTGTTGCTTTGTCTCATTCATGCATGTTTGAGAAATCCTTTATCTCCTGCCATGTGGAGCTGCCTAAATGCTTGTTAGTACAAAGCACCGCCTATTTGTACAAAACCCCTCATAGGAGCTCAGTCTGCAGCCGAGCTCCGGCCACACAGAGCACCCCTCCGCTGAAGGTGCTGAAGTGGGAGTGTCAGAAAGGGTAGGCAGTTCTAAAAGAGACAGAGACCAATTTCTAAGTGTGTAGATGTGATGCACAGCCAAATTTATTTTTTATATATTCACAGCATTTTCATAACAACTGAAGGGAACATAGTTACTTGATTGTGGTATGGGGGTGGGATACATAGAGGAAAAAAAAGACAGGCTTTCTACTCTTGCATGTCTCTTCTCCTACACCTGGACTCCAGTTCTTCTTGGACTAAACCTGCAGTTTTCCTTGTTCTGCCCCACAGCGATGATGAGTTTGGCACTTTGTCCAACTCTCCATCTGCTGCCGGTTCTGATACAAGAGATTAGCTTTCAGAGAATCTGTCAAAAAGCAGAGCAAAAAAGCTTTTGTTTAGCTTCATTGTCCCAAACTTGGATGTTTGGGTTTGAATGTGAAACAAGAGGTTGTTTAGACAGGGTGATAGCAAAGAGAGTCAAAATCCGCAACCTGGTCAGCAGGAAGATTTAAACTGGATAAAGCTGAATTTTATGCAAAAATTGTTACCCGTTCCTCGTCTTTATGTTGCACATTGACCCTATTTACTAATCGATTAATAATCAAACTTAAAGGACAGCTTCCCATCTGAGAATATTATTTTTAAAATGGGGTCACAGCGTAGCACCAGTTTTAGTTTGTATTTTTGTTTCTGCTATTTGTATGATCCAGCTGCATATTTCCTACTTCCACATTGTAGGCGGTCAGTGGATTGGTGTTCCTGGAGAGCTGCTGGGCTATAAAGTGATTCACCAACGACACGGAAAGCTGCCCTGGGAAAAGCTGTTCGAGCCGACAATCAAACTGGCCAGGGAGGGGATCCCCATGCCTCCTTTTCTGGCTCGTTTCATGAGCTCACCTTTAGTGAAAAATTATGTGGAGAACTCATCTCTGTGGTAAATATTTCACACACAGACCGCTCATTCACAAGCAGATAACTGTTAACGCGGATGCAAACAGACAGGTGTTAAAGACTAAACTTTAATGCATGACAAAAAAGTGATCATAAACCAAAACCAAGGTGTAGGAGTCAGAAATATACTGAAAACAAGTAGCAAGTCAGTTATTAGTCAAGTGCAGGACATCAGAACTAAAGAAGAACCGGTGAAGTAAATTGATTTTTAAGCTACCAGAGAGCCTGCAAACCAGAACGATCCCAACAAAGGGACTAAAAACTGAACTCGTCAGAATGAAAAGGAAAATACAGGCATAAAGCCAACATAAACTCAGCCTAACTAGACCCAGAAACCATCCACGACAACATCCTGCCTGTGTAAATTATTATATTCTTCTTGCACAACAGAGCAGGGTTGTTGTCGAGCATGTTCCCGTGCAGTTTTTGTGTGCTCTCTTTTAAAAATGTGTTATTTTTCTGCTAAGAAAAAAAAACAAAAGTTAAGATAAAACAACAGAGTTTTATTTGAAGCTGCTTCAGGTATAGAACTGAATCAATAATCGGAGCAGCTTGGAATACATTTTCTGTAATAAAAAAGTTTTGTGTTTGTTTTTTGATGTCTTTCAGTGTCTCAGTTTTAGTGTGTGTTCGCAGCAGTATGAAGGTTCAAAAACCACTTTGTGTGAACAATATTTAGAATTTGTTTTAATGCTTGCGTATAAATCTGAGTCCCATATCCTGTGCATTGATCCATAACACTCCTGATGGGAAAAACTCAGAATAAAAAACTTTACAGGTATTTTTGTAAGCTGCAATGATCAAACAACAGGTCAGTTCTTTGTTTAATGTGAGATGTAATCTGTATGCTTTTTTTATTAGTGAAGTCTTTTGCAACAATAACAAAACCGTCCTGAAGGAAGGGGACACCTTGAGGCTTTCTATACTTGCAGATACATTGGAAGCCATTGCATTTCACGGGGTAGATGCCTTTTACAATGGCAGGATAGGACAAGCCTTAATCCGAGACATTAAAGCTGCAGGTTGGTGCAAGATAAGCGTGACCAGAATGAGTGTGCATTTCAGAAACGAGGAAGACACTAAACGCTCTTTTGTATTCTTACAGGTGGGACTTTGGAAATGGAGGATCTGAGGTCCTTCAAGGTGCAGGAGGAGGGCGCGTGGACGGTTCCTCTGGGAGACACTCAGATGCACGTCCCTCCACCTCCTGCAGGAGGGGCTCTGCTGGCTTTCGTTCTCCAAATCATGAAAGGTTTGATTTCTTCTCTAGTGACTATAATTGCGTTTCCTGAATGAATTGTTTAAAACCCTGTTTCGTTTTGTTTCCCATGAAGGCTTCTCACTGACTTCAGATTCCCAGGATGGTGAGAAAAAGATCCAGATGTACCATCAATATGCCGAAGCTTTAAAATTTACTAATGGACAAAAGAAGAGCATTTATGATCCTGGATTTAAAAACACACTTCCTGTAAGTTTTCCTAAGCTCATTGCTTTTTTTTTCCTTGTAAAGTTTTAAAGTAAGTTTTACAGAAAAACCTGAGATAAATCCCAAAGTTTGAATTTAACGTAAAATAAAATGGCTAGAAGCCTAAAAACTTGAGTTAAGTTCATTTGTAGACAGTTGTGGTTGAATGTTTCCATCCACTCACGAGCATAGATATCAAATTATGTATTAAGCCCCTGCACTTTCAATTTAAACTGTAATTTACAGCTGCCTGCATGGACAAACCAGGTTTGACAGCCTGTTGAGTGATGTGGTGGGGGGGGGGGGGGGGGGACACACCTAATTGCAAAAAATATATAATTTTTTTTACGTGCACAAATTAACTGCCAGGTTTGAATTCATTTGATCAGAGCAGATCAGTCAAGTAACCCATGACAAATCTACAAATGTAAGTCTGATCAATTCCAAGGAGAACTTAAAAAAATAACAGGTCTGCACCTGAAAACCAGCATCCACAATCAAGTAAATTAAATCAAATTGGTTTAAATCCAGTGCAGTGTTAAAATTATGTATGAGAAATGCATGAACCAAAGTTTAAGTATTATGAATTAAGCAATATTGATGTAAGAGTGTAAGGAGAGGCAGAACAGGGCGGCACAATGGCTCAGTGGTTAGCACTGATGCCTCACAGCAAGAAAGTCCTGGGTTTGATCCCCGGTTCAGACCTGGGGTCTTTCTGTGCAGAGTTTACATGTTGCCCTCATGCTTGCGTGGGTTTTCTCCGAGTACTCCGGTTTCCCCCACAGAAAAAAAAAGGTTGCTTTCAGGCCCAGGCTGAACTCTGTGATAGATGGGGCTGTCCCTCAGTCTGCTGGTTCTGGTTCTGGTTCTGGTTCTGAAGACTCCGCAGTCTATTCTCTAATGGCAGCAGGCCCAAGAAGCAGTGTAGTGGGTGTGTAGGGTCACATGATAGTATGTAATGTGTGCATGTAAACTTTTGAAAACAGCTGTAGCACCTTTTTCAAATAAACTGTCGGGAATATCACAATAACTGCAGAAAAGACTAAAGCAGATTCATTGTGTAAGTAATAAATGTAAATAATGACATTGGAAAAGTAAACAGAAGCATGACTCAGCATAAAAGAGAACATTAAACACACTAAACCATAACAAGAAGCTCAAGTTCTCTTGTAAAAAAAAAAGACTAGCTTGGCTTGGGAACCAAATCTAAAGAATCAACAAGAAAATCAAAAGAATAACTGAGATAATCTGATTTCTTGTGTTTTTTTTTTCTTTCAGACTGCAGATCGTTTGATTGATCCCTCTTTTGCTGACCACATCAGAAAGATGATAACTTCAAACGGCACTCACGAAAACTCTTACTACAACAACATCAAGCCCCCTCCCGATCACCTGGGCACGAGTCACGTCTCCGTCCTGGATGAGAACGGGATGGCCGTCTCCGCCACCAGCACCATAAACCAGCTGTGAGCGGGACTCTCCAGAGGTCCGTGAACACCCTCTGCGCTTGTTTCTCAGTTTTATTGTGTCGTTCTGCAGATTTGGAGGAGCCGTTTACTCGCGGCACACCGGCATCGTCCTGAACAACGAGCTGGCTGATTTTTGCCACAGAACGAACACAGTGAAGGCAGGTAAAGTCACAGGTGAACCCACTGCTCCACACGCTGTGACCATGGTGTTTATATATGACTGTGGTTTCCTGGGTGACGCAGGTGAGCGGCCTCCCTCCTCAATGACTCCTGTGATCCTGGAGTCAAAGTCTGGAAGGATAATCGTGATTGGTGGATCAGGAGGAAGCATGATTACCTCAGCAATGGCCTTGGTAATTAAACACAGGTTGATTCTTAGTTTGTGTGATTCTCTGAACTGAAACATGTTTTTGTTTCCTTCCAGTCCCTCATAAACCGCCTGTGGCTCGGGATGAGCTTAAAGGATTCGATTGCTGCTCCCATCATTTTTGTTGACTCACAGAACAAGCTGAACTTTGAACCACAATTTGATGAGGTACTTAATGTGTAGCATTATGTAAAAACTATCAGAGGTTAAGTACATTTACTTTGTTACAGTACTTAAATATTTTTTGAGGATTTGTAATTTTACCAAGTAGTTTATTTTAAATCGTGCCTTTTACTTTCATTTTGTTACATTTAAAACTTAAAAAATTATTATTTTACTTCTTTGATTTAAAATTAGTACCTATTACTAAAAGTACTTTTTATTTTACTTTCCTTATTTTTGTGAGCAGGTTTATGACTTTTACTTAAGTACTTTTC